CATCTACACCAGCTATACTTCGTACCTGATGTAGATTATTATAGTTTTTTTTGGTTTATAAATTTATCTACATCGGTTCCATTTATACCTGGTGTAGATACATTTCATATCTACACTGGTTGCTACTGTAATCGGTGTAATGTATTTCATTGTCATTTATTATATTTTTTTTCTTTTTTTATTAACTTATCTACATTAGTTTCATATATACCCGGTGTAGATGTTAAATAAAACTAGCATATCTACACTAGTCGTTGTAGCAATCGGTGTATAAATGTCTTTATTTTAAAAAATAAATTTCTGAACCCATATCTACATCGGGTTGCCTTTTTAACTGGTGTAGATATTGCATTCTCCCCCTCTTCTTCACATCACTTTTATTTCACAACTTTCATTTTTCAAAATATGCGTCACTCGCTCCGAGAGCGTTCATCATCTTCTAACCATTCTCATTCAATTTTTGTTTCCAAATCTCCATTACTCTAATGTTCCTCCCACCTATTTCGTTCCTTTGCCCTTCCTCCTTCGGCCTATGCTATCATTTCACGTTGTCAGTGGCTGTGGGTTTATTGCAGTTGGTCGAGATCATTCCCTATGCCAAATTCTTCGAAACCCCTTTCCCTTCTCTACTGAAATCTCTTGCAATTGTTTGAGATTTGCTTTCATTCTTTTGCTGTTGAAACACTATTGTCAAGACGTCCTTCACCACTAGTGACTGGTTTAATATGCGTGGATAAAGCTTCATCCTTCCTCGTTCATGGCTTGATCGTGAAATCCTCCTTCCTTTTCGTGTTGTTGGAGTTCTAAGGCCAGCAGCTTTGATCCTTTCTTTATTATTGTGGATTGAGATTAATTATTTATTGGCTGCTTGCATTATGTCTGAAATCTTGCTTATGTTATCTCTGAAATCTTTCCCTTCTTTTCTCTGCTAATCCGTGTATAACGATAAATTATGCTGCTAATTAATTTAACCTCCTCTGCTTGGATTATATTTAAACTTTCTAGTAGCTAGTGGTCACTTTTAATTTGACTTCTTGAGTTATGGCTTATTACCAGGTGGATTAACTTGTATCTTCCATCATAAAGTTGTATTTATGATCTTGGTAATTCTAGTGCCAAATTGCTATTTTGGTATTTTCATTGGAACTAAACTAGGTATTTTTACTTGATTTTGAATTTAAAGAAATTGGGTTATGCCCATATAAATTTTATTCGGCTAGTTTATTTTCTATGAATTAAATTATTATGACATCATTACTAATTTATTTTCTGTATGCTGGTGGAGTGCTGATAGAGGCCTAAGGCCATTAAGCATTGCATGTGACTTTGTTTTATTTAAATGATATTATTTTTTCCTTATATTTTTAATTGTAAATTTATTAAAAAGTCCAAACTTTAGTGGAGATTCTGCCAATTTTTTTTTAAATTATTATTTTGTCCCTTCTTCTTTCTAGAAAGGGCCAAAAATATAAAGTTGGCTTCCCTCTTAATTATTAGATAGGAGGGAAGTCAACTCTAAAAAATATTCTCAAAAGATTGAAAATTTCCAAATTAAATTGGAAATTATTGTGTTAGCATGCTTCTTTCTTATTTTTTTTAATATATAACTCTTTGTCTGACCCTATCATAATGGATTCAGTAATAATCCATGAACTTTGTTGTGTTTTAGGAAGACAAATTAAACATGGGTCGTAGCTGGATAGATGCCAAATGAACAAGCACAAAGTATGGTAATGGGGTTAAGGGATTCTTGGAATTTGCTCAAAGTAATGCTGAAGATGATAGTGTGAGGTTTTATTATCCCTGTAGGGACTGTTTGAATGAGAGGCAGCTAAGTGTAGATAAGATATATGAACATTTAATTTGTGACGGGTTTCTCAAAAGTTATAGAGTATGGATATGGCATGGTGAAAGATTGAATATGCTGATGCCGAGTACATCTCAATCGTGGCATGTTGATGTTGTTGTTGATGATGATGAAGATGATATGGTTAATCGATTAGAGAACATGATTTGTGACATGGGTAAAGAGGCTTTTGAGCAATCCTAAGCATACAATAATATATACAGTGACATAGAGACACCTTTGTATCCAGGGTGCGAGGAATTTAGTTTGTTGAAAGCAGTGTTGGAATTGGTGAACTTGAAAGCTAGATCCGGGTGGAGTGGTAAGAGTTTCACAAAAATGCTTGAGTTATTCAAATTAATGCTTCCAAGAGAAAATGTGTTACCGGTTCGTTATTATAAGGAAAAGAAAATTTTATGCCTACTAGGCATGGAGTTTAAGAAAAATACATGCATACCCAAATGATTACATATTGTACAGGAGAGAGCATAAAGAGGAGCAAAAGTGTCCTGTATGTGAAACATCAAGGTATAAAGAAAACAAAGCTTCTGTGAAGGTGTTATGGTATCTTCCAATCATACCAAGGTTTAAACGATTGTTTGCTAATGAAAATGATGCGAAGAATCTGAGATGGCATGCAGATGAGAGGATTTTAGATGGGAAGCTTTAACATCTAGCCGATTCGGAGCAATGAAAGAAAACTGACACTTTGTTTCCTAAGTTCGGCAATGATCCAAGGAACCTCGAGCTTGGACTTAGTACAGATAGCATGAATCCTTACAACAGCTTTAGCAGCATATATAGTTTATGGCCTGTTTTGTTGGTGATTTACAACTTATCTCCCATATTGTGCATGCAATGCAAGTATATCACGTTGTCTATTTTCATTTCAGGACTGAAACAGTTAGGAAATGACATTGATGTTTACTTAAGACCCTTGGTTGAAGACTTGAAAAAGCTGTAGGAAGTAGGGGTGGATGTGTTTGACGCAAATCGAAAGGAGGTATTCAAGTTGCATGCGATGATCTTTTGCACCATAAATGACTTCCCTACATATGGAAACTTGTCAAGCTACAGTGTTACGGGGCACAAAGCATGTCTGATTTGTGAAGCAGGTACATGCTATCATCAACTTCATCATGGAAAGAAAACGATCTATCTTGGCCATAGGAGGTTTCTTGAAGAGGACCACTATTATTGTAGAATGGGGAAAGCTTTCTATGGTGGTCAAGAGTGTAATGTCTACTTTGACATTACCAAAATTCACCACACAATCACAACAAACAATCATAATTAGGAACAAGTATTTGCTCCTAATTTCACATTATATATATATAAGAGTTAAAACTAATAATCTTTAGAAATAATTATGGAATATTTGGGATCTCATAAAAACCCTTCAAATTGATAGTTTGAGCTCAAACTTAATGATTTGTAAAGGTATTGGAAGCATGGAAAAGTTTTGGGAAGCAAACCACTTCAAAACAAGGCCAAAAATGTCATTTTTGAGTGTTTTGGTCTATGTGCCGCGGCTTGTGGTCCATGCGCTATGGCATGTGGCACAGAAAGCCAAGTTTTCTTACTGTACTGTGCGCCGCGGCTTGCACAAAATGCGTCGTGGCGCATGTGTCCATGACAGAAATACTGTCATGACAGCTTTTCTGGACGAACTTCGAATGCACGCCATTTTCACATCCGATGTCCGATTGGAGTGATTCAAGTGCACACGCGAAGCTTGTTCAATAAGCTAACTAATGGTATAAGTTTTGTTACAATCTAACACCGTATGAGAATTTTAGACACTTGGATGCAAAAGTCAGTTTTTAAAGAATTTTCAACCATCTAAGTACCTAAAACTCATAACTTATACCATTAACCCATTGTGACGCATGAATCAAGTCCAATGGCCCAAAATACAATTGAGTGAACATTCAAATACAAAAAAACATACCAAACAAAAAATTTGGCTACTCAATGGCCATTTCACCCAATATGGCCAAAACACACAATCAACACTACAAGCACTATTTTGCCGCTATTGCCACATAATACCTTACAATTATATTGTCACCACATAAATAAAACATTCTTTGTACTTGTATTAGTATTTTAGCCCATCACCATAAAAATTCCCACATATTCACATTATATACAATATTAGGCTAAAATACAAAATACCATAGTATGAAATAAGTGCAACCAATCAAAATGATATGCATTCCTAGTTGGCAACATATAATATCATATAACAAGTTTATGTACACCACTCAAACCAAAATTGGGCATTATTATTCGATATAACAAATCTACAAATCCTTTCCCGATTCCTTTCCTTGCTCAATCTCAGCTGTAGAACCTGTAAAATTGTAACCATGGGGTGAGATAAAAATCTCAATAACTAAGATAATCTACATTATTGATTAACAAGCTAAGTTATAAACAAGCATTAAAATAAGTAACATAATTACATTATATAAGATCGCCACAAATTGCATGCATGATCTCTAACCATTTGGTCCTCCAATACCCCTGACCGAATCGGTAGGCTATTTCACAGAACCAAACCACATGTCTGGTTTCCAAGCTCACTATCCATGATAGCACTACCTGGCCAAGGTGTCCTAAACCACTTTTGGACTACTGGTTCCTCCTATTACAAGTAATTGGGGGTGTCCTTACTCCAACACCACATGCTACGAATGTTAAGGAGTATAGTCTTCAACTCTGCACCCTTTTAGGTACTAAGAAGAGTGAGTCACCAACACCGCACCCATTTTCGAGCGCTAAAGAGCGTAAATGCTACACCTGGCATCCTGAGGTGCCAGCAATGCCATATAGACTTAATCTTCACTATCTCTACTAGGGTGACCTCGTTCTCTCTAATATGCCACATTTCAATACATATCTCTACTCGACCATGCATAAACAACTTTTCAAATAAATATAACAAATCTTACCATTTACTTCAAAAATATAGAATTTCACAAACTAATACTCTACTCATTTTCTAAAATAGTTAACCTGTAAAGAATTTATATATATATATATATATACTTAACAAATCATAGAAAAACAACTTGAGAATAACTTATACAAGGTAATAAACAATGTAAATTATCTAGTTACCTCAACCCTTTTGTTACTAAAAGGGTTACCCGTGGTACTAAATTTCTTTTTGTGTCAAGGTAAGTCTTTTCACACCGCAATCTACAATAATAAGTACTATATGTTAATTTTCAATTAACACAAGCACCATTAACTACCAATAGCCCCCCAATTCTCCCACTTCTCACTCAAATTCTCAACAAATAGGCTTATTAAGATTACAATTTGTTCACACATTTCCTTTAAGCCTCCTTCTACTCTATCACATCATAAAACTTAATATCTCAACTTATCACACTTCATCACCCTATAATCAAGTTAGGGCTTGATTTAAAATTCACCAAACAAGAAAGTAGCTTCCTATTACCACATATCCAAGATTAATAAACCTAAATTAAACCTTTAGAGTCAATAGAAACCTTCAAAACATTGACTTATAGCTTAATCCAATTAGACCAAATTCTTACTCTTCCAAATCCCACGGAAAATGAGATGAAAAGGTAGAAGAGAACGGTAGGAAACTTAACCAAGAGTTTGGAGACTCAAATTATCTTCAAAATCCTTTCAAATTGATGCCTTAGCAGTGTCCAAAGTTGCCCCCTTCGTTCTCTAGGTTTTTCACCCCAAAATCTATCAATTTCTGATCATTTCTGAAATTTTAAGTTGCCTGCTGTGCCGTGCACCACAGCACACGCCACGCAAGCCACGGCTCACGACGCAGTGAGAAACAAGTTGATTTTGCTCCCCCCAATGCCTCCTGACTTGATCCGACTTTCATCCTATCTTAATTTAGAGCCAAATATGATCTAAAAATCTAATTAGCCACTCAAAAACATAATTAAATAAATTAATCATATTTTTAACTAATTTATCCTTTAATTAATCAACTTTTCCAAATTTAAAGTTTTAGGATATTACAAAGAAGATGGAACTGCCCCAAAGCCATTGACAGGGGAGCAAGTTTATGAATTGGTGAAAGGTATTAAGGTTACATTTGGCAAGACTAAAAGAATAGTGAAAAAAGTATATGGAAAAAAAGATCTATCTTCTTTGACCTTTCATATTGGTGCTATCTTGATGTGAGACATTGTATTGATGTCATACATGTGGAGAAGAACATGTGTGATAGTATTATTGGAATGCTTCTTGATAAACCAGGCAAGTCCAAGGATGGTGTGAAGGCAAGATTGGATTTGGTGGACATGAAAATTAAAGAAGACTTACATCCAAGGCTGGTTGGTAAGAGGACTTATTGTCCTCCGGTTGAACATACTTTGTGCAAGGATGAGAAAAAAAGCTTTTGTCAGTGCTTACATGACATGAAAGTTCCCTTAGGGTATTCTTCAAATTTTAAAAAGCTCATGTCAATGAAAGATTTAAAATTAGTAGGTCTCAAGTCTAATGATTTTCATGTTTTAATGCAACAATTATACCAGTGGCTATTTGAGCCTTCTGGAAAGATGAATTGAGAGATGTCATAACCAGGATTTGCTTTTTCTTCAATGCTATATGCTGTAAAGTCCATGAGCCTGAAGAATTGGATGAATTAGAAAATGAAGCGTATCTTATCTTGTGCCAACTTGAAAAGCTCTTTCTTCATTATGATACATCTAATTGTTTATCTAGTGAGGAAGATAAAGTTGTGTGGCCCTGTGTATTTACGATGGATGTACCCAATTGAAAGAACAATGAAAGTTCTAAAAGCATATGTGAAGAGTCTACACCATCCTGAAGCATCCATTGTGCAAAAATATGTCTCTGAAGAAGTAGCAGAATTTTGCCAAGATTATTTGAACAATGTACGACCTATTGGGTTGAGACAATGTGATGTCAAAGATCATAGACGTGGCATTTCTGTGAAGACTGCTGATCCTCATGAATTGCAATAAGCATACTTACATATCTTGAATAACGTTGATCAAGTTTAAGACTATATAGATACGCATAAAGAACTCGTAAGGAAGCAAAACAGTCGAATTAGGATAACTGAGCAAAGACTAATTAGAGAGCATAACAATACTTTTGTAAAGTGGTTTAAGCAGAAGGTTGAGAAGGAAGATTGTGTTTTTGATATTGTTAAGGGGCTGGCACAAGGTCCTGAGTGTGATGTTATATGGTGGACTGCATTTGATATTAATGGGTATTTGTTCTACATGAAGCCTCTAGACAATCGGAGTAATGTGCAGAATAATGGTGTTACGCTAGTGGCATCAGGCATGCACTTCTCAAGCTCGAAAGACCAAAAATCCTTTATTCACATCTATGCCTTATTATCGGGTTATTGAAGAGATCTTGGAGGTTGACTATATTAAATTTAAAATCCCTATTTTCAAATGCAAGTGGGTTAATGTTAAAAATGGTTTTTATCAGGATAGGATGGGATTTACATTAGTTAACTTGAATACTTTAAGTTTTGGCAATGAACCTTTTATTATGGCAGACCAAGCGAAACAAGTGTTTTATGTCACGGATCCAAGAAGTGAAACATGGTCAATGGTTCTTGAAGGAAAAAGAGAGGTTAACATTAATGAGAAGGATTGTTCAAATTTCAATATTTCTGAGACTCCTTCTTTCTCGATAGGCTTGCCTGTATTGAATGTAGAAGATGAATTGGATGATGAATATAGCACGAGAGATGATCATTATGAAGGGATATGGGAGAATATTACTATTTAAAAATATCTTAAAAGTTAGTTATTTATTTACAACATGTATGATTTATTAAATTGGTTATTTATTGTGTTTTATTCATATTAGAACATGCTTTATTTATTAGTTATATCACTGATGATTTTTACTTATTGTCTAAACAGGAACATGGAGGATTAGAGTGTTAATTAGGACCAGCCTGACCTTTCTACCCTAATCGTGTCTACTAGTGGTGATGACTGTGTAACTGTTAGTCCTCAAACTATGGGTAGCAGCCAATTTACATGATCTAGGAGACTTAGAAGTGGCATGCGATTAAGAGAGTTAGCTCTAAGTCGGAGCAGAGGTGAGAAGATTTCGATCCAGTTTGATAACAATTGGAAGCCAATCGGGCTTAATGGGGCTAAGTTTACTAGTTTTTTAGGCCTCCAAACTCATAGCAAGCCAAGTATATTGGCACCCACATGGGATGATCTCCCAGAATGAGTGAAGGAACAGATATAGGAAGCCATCAAGGTTTGAGAAATGCACTTTTATCACTTGTTATCATTATTTGTTACTGATTATTATGACTATATCACTAACTATTTCAATGACATGTATTTCAGGTCACATAACATGTCCCCACGAGTATAGACTTTAAGTATAGGTTGATGACCTGGGCTTGTGATCATTGGAGGGGTTTCAAGACATCACTGGCTAAGAGATTTGTGCATATTGAGGTGCCAGAAGGATAGCTATGGCCTAATCCTTATACCCAATACAAATTTCTCGATGCAGCTACTTTTGAAGAATTTATTAGGCTTCGGATTACGCCAGATGCTCTAGTGAGTTAGTTTATTTTAATTTATTTTTTTGTTTATTTTAGCTATATGTCATTGTCTTTATTAGATAACAAATATTTTGTAATTCTGATTCACAAGAAAGGAGGAGAAAGGCATAAGAAGTTGGAAGGAAGAATAATTGCCCCTAAACAAAGTCTCGTGGTGGTTATGTGTTGGCCGACAAGGAATTGATGGTTGCCAAGAGGAGGAAGAGAGAAGAACAAGCTCAATCAGATCCTTCTATTCCACTACCTCCACCATCTCCAATACATCGTGATGAGAGATGGATTTATGCTCATAAGAAGAAGGACGGGTCCTTTTTAAGTGAGCATGCTCGTGAGGCTGCTCAGAAAATTGTAAGTACAATTGTCATTTGTAATCTTATTTTAAATATCAAATATTACTAATTAATTATATTTTATATGTTATAGGATGAGCTTAAATAGAAGCAATTCGAGGGATCATTCATCCTAGAGGGAATAAATGATATCCTGACTGTTGCTATGGGAAAAGGAGAGCATTCTGGACGTGTTCGGGGATTCGAATTAAGGGTGAGTATAAGAGATGTATTTGGACTACCTCAAAAATGCCATTCTTCAAGACTCGTGACTAAGGAGGAGTTGGATGTGATGTTAGCTCAATCAAGGGCTGAGGCAAGGGCTGACGTTGAGGCTACTCTTGAAGCTAGGCTGTAAAAGATGAAGGAAGAAATGATGATGGTGATGAGCTCAATCAAGGAGCGAAGTGGCCCACAAACTCACTCCCTTGCTTGTCATCCGAGTATTAAAGGGAGAAACATCTTTCCACTTCTTTTAGAGGATGACCCTACTCCAGAGGGTGAACTATGCTACTTGTATGTGGAGGACCTAGAAAGACGCTTAGTAGCACACGGTTACATCCACAAGGGGTTAAAATGCCACTTCCAGGAAGTTCAAGTAGATGTTGTCGAGGTCACTGTTGAAGAGGTAAAAATTGATGATGCTTCTGTCCCATTCCCTATTGATAAGATCAAGACAGTAAAAGATGCTAAGGGCACTTTTTGCTTATAGCCAAAAAGACTTGTTGGGAAGCCTCAAGATTTGATAACAAATTTTATTTATTACTTGTAATGAATTCTTTATATTTAAGAATATGTTACTAATTTTTGTATTTAACAGGCAACCCCATCATCCCATAAAGTGGGTTGAAAGCCACAATTGTTCGAGCTAAGTTTATAGGACCGATTTGCATTGATGGCATATGGTGGATCATTTCCATCTTAGTGTTTTAAAGCGAATCCTGATCTTGCTAGCTTAAACAACTATGAAATCTTTGTTGAGAATGAGGACCTTTGTCGGATTCTCATTGATACTAACCTAACCATGGCAAATATCCAAATTGGGATGATGTAAGTTTCTTCTTGTAAATTTAAATGAAATTAAACAATTCAGCTTTTTCAAACTAACTTGTTTTTATTTTTGTAGGTTTTTGCATCAATTGCTAGTTTCCTCGGGTAAAGACAAACAATATGGACTTCTTTGCCCACGTTACACTAAAGATAAAGAGACCACCAAAGAGGTAAAGGAGGTATATATGAACCATAGGCTCAGTGAAGGTGGAAAGGAGTGTTATTTTTCCATGTTTCTCAATCTGTAAGTAAATATATTTCAATTTATTCATAATGGTATCGAATATTTGCTTAAATGACTTTTTTTTGCAGTACACACTGGTAATTGATAGTGTTTTCAATGAAGAGCAATTCCATAATCTTTTTATGCTCTTTGCATCGTAAACTCAATCCTACAACGAAGAAATCTTGTGAGCAGTAAGTGTGCTTAAGGAGTCTTATAATAAAATTTTTTTAGTGATTAAGTTACTAACTATGTCATGTTAATGATAGGGCTATGAGGATTGGCCAGAACATTTAGTTGGGCAAGGCCCCATGTGATGTCAAGGATCCTACATGGATAACACCAAAGGTAATAAGTTATACATGTTTTTATTTTATGTAATTTTGATGATAGAGCCTTCTTTCAGTATAATTATGATAATGTTGTGTTATTCCATAGAGCCATCAGCAACCCCTTACTAATTTGTGCAACTTTTATGTGTTGAGACATGCATACAATATCATCACCGCTGGCTTGACTAAGTTCACTCAGGAGGTAAATGTAATTTTAGATATTATTTATTTTTTCTTCTAATTACTGATTTAATTCCCTTATCCCTAATCTTTTCAGATGTTCAATGATCCATCTCCATTTTCGGATTCAGAGATCCATCAAATAAGGCAACATTGGGGACTCTTCATGTTCGATCTTCATAATAATTTCTTTAGAAGAGTGAACTGTGTCGTTGTAACATTAGTAAATATAGTTGTGTGTAGGATTACTTAGTTGATAATTTATGTTTTATGTGTTTGGAATTATACATAATTTTAAATTTATTTGATTTGAACAATATATGATTGTCTGGCTAGTTCATTATTATCTGGCTATTATATGTTTTATTAATGTAGGATTTAAATTGCACCCTATAATGGTTGGGGTAAATGAAAAAAATGAGAGCAATTTTTTTAGAAAAACAAATATTTACACCGATTCTGGATATAACTGGTGTAGATATATTATCATTTACACCGGTTCTAAGAATAACTGGTCTAGATAATCATATATCTATACCAGTTCCATATAGAATCGGTATAGATAATAATATATCTACACCTGTTATAATAATAACTGGTGTAGATATATAGGTTATCTATACTAGTTTTGAAAATGATCAGTGTAGATATATGATTGTTTACACCTATTATATCCATAATTACATATTCATAATTAATGTTATCTACACTGAATTTATAACTGATGTAGATATATCTATTAACTACACCAGTTAAATAACTGGTGTAGATAACTTAATGATATCTACACTGGTCTTATCTACACCAGTTACTCAACTGGTGCTATTTTAACTGGTGTAGATTTACCTGTCTGTACTAGTGACTTCTAGGTTTATTGGTCCCTTTAAGGTTTTAGAGAAGTTAGGACCTGCAGCATATCAGATTACCTTGGCATTGAGTTTATCGGGTGTTCACAATGTTTTCTATGTGAGTCAGTTGGAGAAGTATCACCTAAATCTTTCTTATATCATTGAGCCAGAAGATGTAGAATTGCGAGAAAATCTGACATATCGGGCTGAACTAGAGTGGATTATGGATGTGAAAGGCCAACAGTTGAGAAATAAGACTTTCAATTGGTTAAGGTCTTTTGGAAAGGCATGCCTCTTAGTGATGTGACTTAGGACCTTGAGGATAAGATAAGGCAATCGCATCCAAACCTATTATCGAAAGTATGTCATTAAGTGAGATCGTGAATTTTGAGGGCAAAACTCTTAAAAGAAGGGGAGAATTGTAACATCCTAGATTTTTAACTTTGGGAATTGTCACTATTTATAAAGGTATTTTAATCAAATTAAGTAGATTTTTGGTTAATAATGTTTCAAGGATACTAATGTAGCTAATGGATTCTTGGACAACCTTAAAAGAGGCTAGATTGAAGTACAAGCAGGCCATGACATGGAGTGAAATTCATGAGTGTGGAGTTCTTTATGTCATGTGCTACGGCGCATGTACAAATTTCTCCTTTTATTAGATCGCAAAATTCGATGAAAAATCAGAGAAAGAAAGAGAGAAACTAGGAAGGCTTCAGAGGGAGCTCGTGGTCTACTAGGGCACAACCTTAGGAACACATTGTAAGCATTTGGAGCAACATTTAGCTTTGGAAAAGCTTCCTTCATTTCTCCCTCTCTATGCAAGTTTTCTGATGATTTAGCTATTTTGAGGCTATGATTTCATGTTTTCTTAGGTAATGGCTAAACCCATTGCCTTAGTTAAGATCTTGGGAAGTTAAATCAAGCCTCTAAATTTATATTTATGGATTTTATAAAGATTTAGAGTTGTTGGTTTGTGTTTGGATGAGCACTATATAGAAATTGGATGATTAAGAGCAATGTGGATAATGTAATGGTATTGTTTACATGTTGGGATGTTAAATAGAGTTAATGTAGTTTGTCAGAAGAATTGTTAGGGCTAAATTGAGGTTTTGAGTATAATAAGTACCCTTAGTTGTTTTATAAATGGGGTGAGAGTAGGAGGATTTTATAATTAAGGGTTTAATTGTGTAGATTAACCTTGATCGGGCATTGTAGTGCTAGTGGACACGTGTGGAGCCATTGCTTGACCATAGTAACCCTTTTAGTGACAAAAGGGTTGAGGTAATCGAATTGTCTAATCTCCCTTTTTGTGTGTTTGGATGATAGTGTGTTCGATTTAGAAGTTGTTTTGATTTAATACTAGCTTATTATTAATATGGGATTATGATTTTGAAGTTATGTGAAGAGGAATGAAAACTTGTTCTAATGCTTTTGTATTTGGAGAGCTAAATGCTATTTTTATGTAAAATTACTTGCGAAATTATATGGTTTACGTGAAAATGAGAAATTGTGATAAATAATGTTAGGGACATGTGTTGGGTGTATTATGTAACATCTAGGAAAATTAATCATGATTTGTTAACCTAATGACTTTGATTAGTGAGTTAATGAGGTGTGTGGCCAAAGGGGCCTAACTTAGTGTAATTGTTGTGATTTTAGCTCTAGAAATGGGTCTGAATTGAAGGCAGATAACTAGGTAATAAAAGAGGAAGAAAAGGTGAATGTTTGCCCTCTGTGCCACATATAGCGGCGTGTGGTCAATATGTACACATTGCAACGGCCTCTCTGTGCCATACTCCATGGTCCGAGCAGTATGCGCCTTGGCGCACGGCTAAAATTTTTGATAAATCAGTTCACATTTTGTGCAAGAAAATAGAAGAGAGGAGGAGAGAAACAAAGAGAACATTGAAGCTCTAGAAGGGCACATTGTGGGATCACATTGAGGATATATTGAAGCGTCCAAACACCCAAGGTAAGTAATTTAAGCCTTCTTCTTCCTTTCGCTCCCTTATTTATGGAGATTTATGATAAGGTTTGAGTTGGAAGATTATTTTTTGGTTCATAGGAGTATAGGTCTATTTGATTGAAATGAGTATAATGGGAGTTGTTTAAGGTTTTGAAACACCACATTAATGATTGTGGAAGTGGTAGGTCCACAGGGGTAGTAAATACCTAAAAATTGACATAAATGTGGTGGTTGGGAGAGGTTTGTGTCCATTAATGGTGGTTTGAAGAGTAATTAATGAAAATGTGTACCTAAAGAGCCCATTGGGTAGAAAAGGTTAGAAATTTATGGATTAGTAGAATAGATATGTGGAGTTTGGTATTGGTGAATCCTTAAAAATGGGATTATGATGATATTTTTGATTTTGACTGTAGTGTGAGTTAAATTTGGCACCATTCAAGCTTGGGAAAAGCTTTAGAAGTACTTTGTGTGAGGGGTAACCCTTTAACCTCTCAAAGGTTTGAGGTAACTGGGGGAAACCTAATTTTTATAGCTAAATGTTAATTGTGTTTGTAAAATGTGATTGATGATTTAAATTAATGATGCATATTGGCAATGTGTTTGACTTGTGAAATGATTTTGGAAAGGAAAATCTCAATTTTTCCACCTCTTGTGATTTGTGAACTTGATTATGGTTTGTTATTGTGGGTGGTGAATTGTGATTTGACATGTGTCGATTATGTGGAGAAAGTGAATATGAGTATGTGAAATTATTTTCCATGAATTAATTATTTGAAATGCATTTTATGTAAGGAATGTGCATAGCATGATCATTGGCGAAAGTTTACCTAGTGGGAAAAGTAGATTGGTTTAAATCCACGTGGTACTGGCAGTAACTGTTGGAATTGAGAACTTGCCTTGGCACCAACCATTAGAATCGAGAGGTAGCCTTTGTCTCATGGCTGATTCAGGACTGTTCCACTTGTTCTATGAGGGGCTTGAACCTAACTAGTCTCTATCGATTCATGAAGAGGTTAGATTAGGGGTACGACACCCTATAGTTGTTAGTATTGGGGGAAACGAGATTACATAAGTGAATGAGTTAACCCTGGCCTGATAGCTCCTTATAAGTCAAAGGTTAGGTTAGTCTGTGAAGGATGTAGCCGTGTGATAGCCACCGGTTTCATGTCAAAGGTAATAGAAGGGGATAAGGTTGGTATATGATCATGCACTGGCCACATAATTGTTAGTATTATGGTCTGGCATGTGTAAGGGCGCATGGATGGTAGTATTCCGATGCCGTATTGTGTATTGTGATTTCAAATGGATACATGTTTTTTGAGTTTGGTCACATGGTTGTTAGTTTTGTGAGCCATGGCCAAGTTCCTTATATGTGCCAATGTTATGCTTATTTGCCTATAAGCATCTATTTACAATTGATATGCAATTATATAGGTTAGGTGAAACTTGGTTACTAAGTGGTTGTACTCACCTTTTAATTCTTAATATTTTAGGGCCTAGCTCATCGGATCAGAGTCAGGAAAAAGCATTTTAAAGCATAGGATTGTGGTGAAATCCTACTTTCATGCCTCTTTATTTGCATAATAATGTTGTATAATTGCCAACTAGGATCACTTGTTATTATTTTGCACTACTTGTATTAGTTTATGTACAACTTGTGTATTTTATGCCCCGGGTTAGTGAGTTTTGGTTATAAACCTGTGGACAGGGCCAAAATACTTGTGCAAGTAGGAACATGTGTATTTTGAAAGAATTGGAATAAAAATGATGATTTTGTGCAACAATTTCCTCCCCCTTGTGTTCTATGAAAATTGAGGTTGAGTGGTGATTTTAAGATATATGTGTTTTTGATTGTGTGTGGTGCATTTCACAAGTCCGCTAGAGTCCATTAAGTGTCGTTGGATGGTTGATATAGGCTTATGGCACTTGCGCTTGAGTTGGGACACCAAAGTTATGAGATGTTTGTAAAAAGTGCTAAATTGGGTTTTGATGTCCAACTTTTTATAAAAAATAATTTGAGTGTGAAATCAGTTCCATTCGCTAGAGCTAGGAGAAAGCTTCGTATAGACACCAAAAGCACCTCAATCAAACGTTGGATGGAGATTTAGGATGTGTTGAAAGTTTTCTCCCTGTGCTATCAAATGACAGCACTGATACTATCATTTACTTGCAATACGCTGCAAAATATGGCACAGAGAAGGGAGCCGTAGTGCACATGTCACAAGCTACGGCGCATGTGTCATTTTCTACACAAAATCCATTTTTGAGTGTTAAAACTCTTTTTTTAGGTCCTATTTGATTTTCAAGCTTTTATACTATTTTCAAAACTTTGATTTAAGTCAAATAAATATTGGTTGATATTTGAAATATTGAATTTGGGATTTCATTGTAAATCATTTGAGAAAATTTTCTCTTTTATGAAATTTTATAACTTTAGTAATCCTTTGATGGTTAATCCCTTAATTACTATGATTCTGGAGTTCAACGTGGTTAAGTAAGGGAGACCTTACATATTAAGCATGTTTG